ATGACATTAACATCATGTGACTTCTCTATCTGCTTATTTTAACGGTTAACCTAAGAATCTTTTGTTTCTTGGTTTTTGTGTTTTCTGCATTTCTCCAACTCTTTTCCCTTTCTGTTCCTTCTAATTCTCATGATAATTGTAAATTCTGCTCCATCATGTCACTTATTCTTTCACGTAAAAACTGTCCTTCCAAGAAGTGAGGAGAAAGAGGTTTTACTGTTACCAGAATTTTCTCCTACTTTTTTAGCTTGTTCATAACTCTTGTGTTCTTCTGTTCACTGTAAATAACTCAGACTAAATCACAATTCACCGGACTGTAAACTAAATTACTTCTCAACTTTTCGTTATTTTTATTGTTATTTTTATCACCATCATATTACTGTTTATATTACTTATTAATACTGACAATTGTGAGTGAAACCAAGCTTCGTCACCGCCATTGATATCACCAACATCATATTTATGACATTTAATCTCTGGGTTGAGTAAAGTTTTTCAATCAATCACAATTTTTCACATGTAACTAACAACAACCAAATGAACCATTTATCTTGCAAAGTTGTGAATTATCAATTTTTTATAAAGACCCATTCTGTAAAACAAAATTGAAAAAACTCCAAGCAACTAAATCAATCATTGTCCGGCTACAAAATCGACTTAAATGGCAAGATTAATCTGATTCCAGACTCGATAAAAAGAAGAGGAAAATAGAACCATAACCGCCATTGAATGCAAGCAATAACAACAGGGATAGATTGACTTTATTAGACAAGAGATATCAATCTTGCTCTTAATTATAAAGTCAATTAGATTACAAAGGAATGTTATCCAATAATTTTTACCAAATTTCAATTTTTTTCAAGCAGACTTTGCATTTAGCAAATTGAATTAACATGACAAAATGAAGTTATAATTTGCTCCATGTAACCAATCTTTTGTCTCTGCTAATTGAATCAGTTTCATCTAGTTGGACAATTAACGACAAGATAATGAAAAATGTTGAAATTTGACCGGAATCAACTTAAATAATTAACTTTGAAAGCTGACAATTGAAGATAATTTTAATTGTTAGTTACATTCTGGTTTAGTTAATGATGAAAATTTAGTGGCAAAACAGGGAATGAAAAATGATTGCCAACAAAGCAACTGTTTTGCTTTATCAATTATAATTTTGTTCATCCTTTCATCATTCTTATTATCACCATCGTAATCATTACCATAGTGAGAGTCATCACAATGATTATTAATAATATTACTTAAAGAAGCACTTGAATTAAGCCTTGAAATGTTGGTTAAAATGATAATTTCAAATTCATTAAAAGAGACAGCATGAAGATGAACAGAAAAAAAAGGTTGATAGAGTGAAATAAAAACGCATCCATATAAATATACATTATTCAGACATGATAAACGTTATATTATGATTATTATTAGTTTTTATTTTATTTTTACTCTTTATTTTACTTCTATTATCATTATTATTATTATATGTTATTTTATATCGTTAAACTTGAGCTAGCTTTTTGGTGTATAAAACTTAAAATTGCATTCAAACGTTTATTTGAACAAAAACTGTGTAACCTCATCATACAATCATCATCATAATTTACAGTTATTTATACCAGTCAAGGCTTTTATTTGTTTTTACACTGTAATAATAATCAAATATATAACATAATATCATTGAAAGTGCAAAAAATAAACTAAAATTCATATTTGCACTCGCCAGTATATTTAATGGTCAACCTTCAATATTAATATTGACCCAAGAAAATGGTTAATGTGTAAATTAGTTGAACCACAATTAGCAGGTAACTTCGTGTAACAAAGTTGCAACTTCACTCCAAAGATTTACAATTTTGTCCAATGTGTTGATTGTTTGCTTTCTGGATTAAGTGGCTCAGGTCGCAGGTTATCAATGAATTGGGTATTAGTGCTCAATCTGGCTGTTGAATTGTCCTTTTGTCATGATTGTTGTGTCTGACTTTTTATTGGTAAATAATCAATCCAAAGGGTTGCGTTAACTGTTGAAATTAGCTAATAGTCTTTACGTTTTGGGCAACCATTTTAGCAATATTTTAAATGATTATAGTCAATTTGGGTTTGGGACTCTTAACCGAGTCAAGTTGATTTATTGATTGACCCACAAAGACACCTTAACTACTATGCTGTTTTCATGCCATCATCATCTTGATGATAATAATACATATTTGGGATTCACTACTGACAATTGGTAAGTAAGAAGCAATAATAGAAGAACCTTTTCTTCCAATTTTCATTCTTCTTCTTTTTCCTTCCTTCTTTACCTTTATAATGATTGGTTTTATTGGTTCAGGTTGATCTTTTTTTCCGTCCCTGTTTTGGTTCCATCAGGCTATATTTAATATTGCTAAAATGCACTAGATTGACCCTGAATATGAACATGATTATTAGAAAAAGGCGATCCCAGAGTTCAATTGATACCATTTCAATCATTATATCCATTGATAATAACCGGTAAATATGTTTTCACTGGTAAAGACACTTTCCCTTTTCACACTGATGATCTTAATATTTGAAAAGCCTTATCCACGAGGATAACCAAACGACCACTGATACCAATTATTGATCAGCAACTATTAATAAAACCATTGATTAATACAAAAATTTGTCGCTAAATAATCCATTCAATGAAACAATGAACATCCAAAAGACAGCAGACAAGAAAATGTTTACAAAATTGAAAATAAAATAATGCTTACAATGGTGAAACTCATCGCTGTATTAAATTGACAATCAAACAATTTTAAAAGACACAATGATTGAAAAAAAACAATTAAAATACAAAGTCAATGGCTGAGATTAAGTAAGCTGGTTGTTGGTGATACAGAGATGAGTTCATGTTGAAGTTTAGAAACTGGAAAATTGAAAATGATTACATGATTTAACTTTTAATTGTAAAGGATTAGTAACCTTTAGTTAAAGGATTAAACCTTTCTATTCACTGATTAAAATTAAACATCTTTAACTATGTGGCCAATTAAAAAAGTATTAACCATAAGTGAACTAAATCAAAACAAAAAGGTCAACCTTCCCAGTCACTAACGATGACAATGCATTTAATGGGCGCCACATTCAAATGCCACTTGAATTACCCAAAAAATCGCAAATAAATCAATAAATTACATTTGACTCACTAATGAACGATCAAAATTGAGTATTTGATTGAAATCTAAATTGTTGACCCAAAAGTGTTAATGTTGGCAATTATTACGAGAAAAGTCTGTATTTTGATAAAAAGGAATCCCTTTTGATGTAAATCAATGCAATTTATTTTGTTAACTTGTTAACTAATCAAAAAACAATCAACAACTTGGTGTGTTCAACAAAATGATGATGATTACAATGATAATGATGAAGAATAATGAAAATAATGGATTTGACAAGTTAATATGATTAACTTGGATTCATTGATAATTTTCAATCCAAGGTGTTACCAAAAAGTACATCAATGGAGTGAAAAAGTCTCGATAATATTTAACTCTGATTGATAATAATGATATTATACTTTCAACTATCACGATATCAACATTAATATAATAATAGCAAATATAATAATAATAACATGGTATTTGTTTGTATATTGAACTGATAATATTGTATATAAGAAATGAACTTACTTTTTGCTCAATATTTTCTTTGAGATGAATTTTTGTTTTTGCCTTTTTTTATCCTTTTCCTTTAAATTTAATGGATTCTTACTTACAATTGCTATTATTGTCATCAAAATAAACAATATTTACGCCTTCCTATCATCATCATCATAATCATCATCTTAATGCTTATCTTTATCACTTAATAAAACTGTTGGAAGCGGTTCATTTCATGGAGTAACTTGAACAATATTTATCAACATTTATCAGCATCACTTTAACTTTTCAAGATTGATTGTCTTCAACTCTTCATTTTTCCTCTCTTTATTTAATGATATTTTTTTCATGCTAATCAAATATGGTTAATGGTGAAAGGCAAGTTTCATTGTTGTTGATTGAGCCATTGCATGATTGCCAGAAATCAAGTTGATTATTTAAAACAGTCACTTGACTTTTAAAGCAATCAATTCTTAGGCCTACTGTTAATGGCATTAACCCGGTTGGATTAAAAATAATTATCCATTGACAAATTAAGGCATTTAAAAGGGTAAAATGTTGCTCTTAAAGCAAAGAGTAAAGAAGAAGAGACTGCGATAAATACTAATACAATGTGTTAGCTGTATAAGATGCTGAACATTTGTTTTTGCAAGTATAAATACTGATATCCTCCGCTAACAACCAGTTAGTGGATGCTAACTGTAACGAGTTATCGATGATGTATGTCGTGCAT